AACAGACATTTTTCTTTTTCAAAAAAATAGCCAGAATTCCTCTTATGGATTTTGAGCAATACAATTTACACAAAAATAAAGAAACAAAAATAAAAACATGGGAGAATGCCACAGAATGTGTATGAAGAGTTTCCGACGGGTGGAAGGAGAGAAACATATCCAAGTGGGAGGAAATACTTTGAGATGGATGTGCTTGCGTTAACGCAACGTGAGCAGAGGAACCACAGTTTTTTTTTTGTGTGTGTGGTAGCAACCAATAACTCAAACATACCTGCTCGCTATGAATACCAGGTAACAGCTACATATTTGCCCTACAGAAGATCGTCCTTCACAGATTTGGTGAGAGGCAGTTTCCCACCGGGCCACACAGACCCAGAGGAAACCACCGACCTAAAACGGAAGAAAACCTTTTTCATATATATAAAAATAAAGAGTAGTGTTAATGAGGAGCTGAGGATAGACATAGAAACAGTTAAGGCAAACACTGGTCTGTAAAAACATGGTCCTGATCCAGAAAAATAAAAATAATTGAGTGGTTTTCGTTACTCCGTTGCTCAGCTCCTTACGGTTCTGCAGCGAGGAGGGGGGAGGTGCTAAGAATGTTTGATAAACATTAATTTGTGACTATCATCATCATTATCATTGTCATCATTAGATCCACTTCAAGTCTCCCGCGCACACACGCAATCACAAACACACAGGGGCGATCAGGAGGGTTTCTCCTGGGTCTGTCGGTCCCAGCTCTCCAGTTTGCAATACACAGTGTTGGAGTTCTTGCAGCGACAGCCGGGCCTGTTCACCCGGTCGTGGCAGCCCTGGCACGCCTTCAGACACCCCTTGACAGGCAGGTAGCATAGCAGACAGGGGAAGAGTACCGACATTAATCCCATGCACAGGAAACGAGAGCAGCAGTGGGAGCGGGACAGCGAGCAGGGGTGGTCAGCACACGAGTCCCCCTCATCGTCATTGGAGCAGTGGTAGAAGATGCCCTTAACCAGGCACATGCACGTGCCGTGCTCCAGCGCGCTCTCGGCCGAGCAGAGGCATTGGCCGTTACACGCCAGGCACGAGGGCAGGCTCCGGGGAGCCGTGCAGTCACTGCACTTGCACTTCCCACAGCACTCACAGATGAATTGGTGCCCGGCAGCAGCCACCACCCCGTTGCCACTGCCAGTAAAGTCAGATTTCCCTTTGCCCTGGGGCTTGAGTGGAGCCTCTAGTGGAGGCTGGTGGAAGTGAGGTCCCTGCTGGGGCTGTAAAGGGGCCTTGGGCTGAGTCCTAACAGGCCGCTCCGCTCGGTGGTGGTGCTGTAAGCTCATGCTGGACCTGGTGGGGGGTGAGCGTGCCAAGAGTCCCTGCTCAGAGGAGGCGCTGCTGTTGCTCCCTGAACTGGCAGCACTTCCTGTGCTAGTGGAGCGGCTGAGTCCTGGGGCCCGGGACCCACCGTACTGCTGTCCCCCAGCCACAACCACCACGCCGCCCCCGACGTGATGGTGGTGACCTGATGGCCGGTGCTCATAATTGTTGTTCACATTAACGAGGATGACCTCGTGAGTTCTCTCCTGCTTGTCCTGAGGCCTGGGGGGCATGCGGGGCGCAGGGGGCCTCCGTACCACCGAGGGCCCCTCGGTGTACTCGTTGTTGGAGCGGATGGCCTTGATTTGGTCCAGGGAGAGAATGGCGGCATGCTGGAGCTCCCGCTCGTAATCCGACCTCTGCCGGCTCTCTAGGGAAGGCTGCTGGATCACCACTAATGAACCGCCGGGGCCATGTTGACTTTGGAGCTCCATCTGGGGGGATCACCACTTCCGACATTCACCGTAGACTTGGCATGCATCGGAAAACCTGCCAGGGGAGGAAGGGGGGGGGGAGACAAAGGAGAGGCAAGGAGGGAGGGGACATCATCAGAAAGAGCCAAAACATGGCACAACAGGAAAACACAACATGTCCTGATGGAAGAGGGTGAACATGGTTCCCACACAGACGTCCACAAAATAACTCAATGAATCACGTCATTCATATTATTCCTGAGGAAACGAAAAGCTGCTCTGCAGGAAACAGTCACTGTGGATTCTATTTTAAAGGAAAATAATAAGTACAGGAGCAGTTTGAGTTGTTTTCAAAGTCGATCCAGACTTTGTGTTCTGATCCTGTAAACATGACAATCTGTCACGTTTGATCCGTTAACTGAAGCAACCCGGTGGAAAAAAGTTGACTATTAACAAGAGTTTTTTGTACTTTCCTCTCCAATACGCATACATCCAAACTTCAGTGGGCCCTACAAATACTTCCCCTGCTCATTTACATTTGTATGACTAGTTAACATTTAAATGCACCGCGGCGACGAAATGAGGACACGATCCAAGGGAACTAAATGAGCTGCCTCACTTAGTATTCTATTACTACACCAGAGAGGATTCAGGGAAACTGGGACAAAAGTAGAGAAGAAAAAAAACTTAAGGTCAAAACAAGCTCCGACCAAAATACAGAACTGTGTTAAAACAAAGCGTGCACTTCAAAGTTGTCAGATTCAAACTTCACCTGCGAGTTTATTTAAAGGAAATTATTTATCATGTGGGTTTTTGTGTTGCTGCTATTGAGACTTTGGGTTTGAGTCCTCGGGGATGTTGTAGAGCAACGTCGAACTACACGAGGCCAAAATAAAACCATAAAATCTGGATGAACTCGAATCAAATCTTCACCAGAGTTGAGTCAAAGCCAAAAACGATCGATTCTTGCTGCTTTGGCGCTTTACGCACAAACAAACTCCTGATGTGCGCGTCAAAGTGCGCACGGTTGAAAAGGAGCAGACGTCGTGCGCAGGAATAAAAACAGGAGCCCATTAAAAAAACACACACACACAGCGCCGCAGATCGAGAGGAGACATTAGAGGACGCATCATAACAGACGGAGGAAAAACTTATGAATGAAAACAACCGCCGCGGGGGGAGGGGTGTTTGTTACAGGCAGAGCCACTGAAGGACACGGGGCATGGAAATCTATCAACTTCATCCACCGATCGCCGTGAATTTAATCCGCTGCGGGCGCTTTTCCGTGCCAAACGCACGCAACGCGGCACGGAACGTCTGAAGCTTTGTGCACCAGTCCAGCTTCACGTCTTATTTCGGCTTCAGCGACGCAAATGCGATCGTTGCGTTCGCTACTATCGCTCCACAAGCAGAGAAACAGAGAAACAAAAAGCAAATGCGTAAAAAAAAAACAAGTGTGAAATAGTAAATATGATGCGTACCTATATGCAACCGTCCATAACGTCGAATCCATCAACCAAAACAAGCCTAGAACTCCATCCAGAGGGAAGGGGCAATGTCCACGCGTAAAGTGTGAGGTCTAATGCATAACATTCACAGTCCTGTTAATCCAAGAGCGACTGTATCCCTTTGCGTTATTCCCTCTTCTTGGTTACGTTGAAGAAAAGTTCAGCGCGGGTTACGCATGCATTGGTTCCAGGGTAAAAACACAGTAAATCCACGGCGGAGGGAGGACAGGCACCCGGGGAACTGCTGCGCACTTGGGGGGAGGCCGATCTTTCAGCGAGACAGCCCCAGTTCTGCAAGTCCCGTTGTTGGGGAAATCAAAACCGTGTCGGAGAATTCAAACCAAAGAGGATTCGGGTTAAATCCAAGAGTTTCTCCTCCTCGTGCGTCTGCAGGGAGGCGATCTGACCGAGGCTGTGACTTATTGTTGCGGGGAACCAGGCGCTTCTTGTGCGTTAAAAAAAAAGAAACGCGTCGTCGGGTCTCAGACGGCGGTGCGCGCTCTGCTGCTCTGCGGGCCTGTTCAGCACTGAATGAATGGAAGCGCAGGACTCAGTGTTTGCTCGACAAGCCAACTCCCATTGGCCATTCACTCCACTGAAAAAGGATACATCGCATCCGCTCCTGATTCATTGGGCAGATGTAGAAGGCCGGGCGATAGAGATGTGCGCTCGAGTTAAGGTGGAACGGCGTTTTTTCTTTTATTCCACGATGGGGGCTCAGGGAGGAAGAAGAGAGAAGAAAAAAAACACACAACTAGTTTCCGTTCCTGTGGTTTATGAATAATGATGCGAATAAAGTTCAATGTGACTAAAAGTATTTGTCATCAGCGCGTCATTTGTTTGCATTCTTACCGGTGCGTAATGTTTGGAACAGAGGTCAAAGATCCATGGAACAAAAAAAACGTCACTTTTTTTTAACAGAAAATGCCTCATTGGTTCATTTAAAAGATTATAAACTGTTTTAAACACATGAATATTATATGAAGACGTGAATAGATTCTGATTAATAGAAGTTTGAAAATTACTGATGAACTGAAATGCACTACAAATGAGTAAATGAGACGTTTAGGGACTTTTAAAAAAACAACTTATTGTTCCTCAGATGATAAAAGTTTTGTTGACGAAAGAAAGAAACAAGAAATCTGGGATTAATTAAAAGAGGTTGAGTGAAACAGGATCAGGTCTTTTAAAACAATGTGTAGTTTTAATAACTGAATAAGAGACATTTAAACTCACATCGAGAGAAGATTATAAGTGAATTTAGGTCAACTTTGACTCAATTAAACATCGCCTGTGTGATTTCAGGGAAGTCAGGGAGTAAAACATCAACAGGATGTCTTCCCTCCTCTCTGGAATGTTCCCATTACGCACATTTACGCATGACACCGGAGGAAATAAACCGTGTGGTGATGAGTCTGCAGCTCTGATCCGTCCACTCACACATCTGATGACTTCTCATGGGTCCAGACTGTGGGAGGTGGGTTTTTTTTTTTTAGTCCCGGACCACCTTAAGAAAAACGCAGCCCTGCAGCCAGGGGGGAAAGACTCCCCCTCACCTCCCCCCTCTCCCTCCCTCACCTCCCTCCCTCTGTTCCTGACTGTCTGGTTTGATTGGTGTGGCGGATGCGCTACATCCGGATCCATGAGAAAAGGAAGTTCAATACAAAGTCAATTTATCCCATTCAGATGGAAAAATCAATAGATGAATGACCCTCGGTGCCACCTCGGGTCAGCACATGCGTAAAAGAAGAATGCGTAAAAGGCGCAGGGAGAGTGAGGCACTTATAAAGTGACTCAGTGGCGCAGGAACGATTCTCGTGTTTTTCTTTTTTCCCTCCTGGTTAATGTGGAAGTTAAACTGCAGCTTCTCCCTGATAGTCAGTCCTGCACAGGCCGACAGATGGCCGCCTGGATCCCGGCTCTTAGTGGTCGGAAGTGAGGACGGAAATCTCACGATTACAGCAATTAGCTGATTTTCCATGGATGTGATGAATTTACCAGTCGCGGCTGTTTTTCTCCCCGTGGATGGAGAACAGCAGCTCCACACACGGAGGGTTTAGGAACCTCCAGAGGTCCATGAAGGGGTCCTCAGGTCCTCACGTACACATCTAATCCACCGTTCAACTGAATGGAACAAATTCTGTTTATAAATCAAAAGCACTTTTCACTATTAAAACGACTTTCACATCGTCCACGTGGTTTTTACTGCTTAAAACTCAGAATCAGAAATGCTTATTAACTTATTCACATTTTCCTCTAATGTTCCTTCTGTGATGAAAAACACAAGACAACTTTACACCAAACATAAATAATGCATTTATTACATTATGAACATTTTCACTGATCAGAAATGACACGTGAACAATATGAAGCACCACCGTTCTTCTGTGAGTTTCTGAAACTTATTCATTGTACATACAAAACTTAAGCAGTTGTATAACTTGGCAGAATAAGCTGACAAAGAGAAAAATCCTTCCGTTTGCCAAAATCCACATCGGCCAATATTCAGCTGGATGTTTAATAGTAACGTCTCCAGCCGATTGTGGCAGATTTAAACCTGTATAATGTAAAAATAACAATAAAGCTACAAAGAAAAAAAGGACATTCCTTCGTTTTGAACGTGTCCTTGGCGGCGTGGTCAGAAGAAGCACAGGCCGCTGTGCCGCTGCTGATAGCTGATATACGACTGGATGAGCGAGTCGGGGATCCGAGGCTTCACAGCGTTCAGGGCACTTTCAAAGTGTCTGGCCTCGATGTGCTGAGCTTTGATGTCCTCTTGCAGGGCCAGGAGGGCGGCCTCTCTGCATACTGCTGTTATCTGGGACAGGAAACAGAGACAGATATTCAGCTGTCAGCCAGTGAACGCCACAGAGTCACGTGAGGCCGCTGACCGACTTCTGTGGCAGACTGTGGAGGTCAGATCTGTCGTGGTGATGGAGCAGTAATCTCATTTCTCTAGGAAGTATCTTTATTTTATACACATGCAAAGTCACTGAGGCAAAGAGACAAACGCGAACTGAATTTTTCATCCACTGATATCGGTGCTAACGAGACGCGTGAGGCAGAAGATCCAGAGCGACAGTCAGGGTCACAGTGGGAACAAGTCAGCAGATGATCTTTTCTTTAAACTGAATCAGCTTCTGGAGCTGAAACATCTTCGTCTGTGTTTTCTACGTGTGTGTCAGAGCTGGGTTTTTGTTTTCTTTTTGATTTTTACGTCGTTCAGGAAGCTCTCACTCAGACTTACACCTCAAATGCAGAGAATCTCCAGAGTTCAGTGAATTGTCTGAAAGCAGCTTTTGTTCTCAGGTAATGTGAAGAAAACTTAATTTATCATATATAAATCAATATCAATATATCAATAAGTCCAGACTGACGTGTCCCTGGCCACAGAAAGAGAATAAAGAGATGGATGATTACAATTCAGATGCAGAGGAGTTTGAGGAAAATGTAAAAACGACTTCTCTGAACAAGTTAATTGACTCATGAGCAACATGAAATGATTGAGATGACAGAAAATCTTTCAGTGCTTCATATAAAATCTCTAACAAGGTCTTAAAACTGTCGGTCCTCGGTGGCTGTTTACAGCTTGAGAAGAACTGACACAGTTGAAAAAAACTCGATGAGCAATTTTTGGAAAAGATCAAGTTAAAATTTGGGTTTGCAAACATTTCTCCTCAGAGGCTCTGGAGACCACATTAATAGTTCAGTTACTTATTAGTTATTCAACTTGCAAACTAACGAGGAACACTGGTGTTTTAAATGTGGGAGGACGTTATAAAACCAGCTCGACTGCATGTTTGAGAGACTTTCAGATTTATGTTTACTTCGCTTCAGAAAAATACGGTTTCCTGGCTCTGCCCTTTAAGTTTGAACTGAACTAATCGGATTATTTCTGCCTCCAGAGCTGCTCCTTTAATGAGAAATGTCTGTTTAACCAACATTACTGATCCGCCGTGTCTACAGTGTAAATACAGTTGTCCTCCTGCAGCCTCTATACTACAGCACTGATAGAATTATGCAACGGCTGACATGGCGGAGTGCTGCAGGTGACCTTTGGGAGAGATTCTGCACACGCCAGAGGAGTGACTCACTTCCGAATCAGCCGCGATGGCGGATGGAGGCCAGGCACCTTCCCAGCGGTGCCACCCTCCTCGTTTTCTAGAAGCACGGCTTTGTTCAGAGCGAGGGCAGCTCGCACACCTTCCTCCAACAAGAGCCTCGCAGGAAACCGCCGGTACGAGCACTGATAACGTCTGCGGGACATGCACTCATGTAACGCAGCAGAGCCGTGGGATATTGAAGAGTGAAAGTATGCATGACGAGAAATGTGGGTCCAAGGAAATTGTTCACTGGCCTGAAGCGCTGATGGTCTCTGCTGCACCGTGTTGCACATGCAAGCTGAAAGGAAACACTCACAGTGTGCAGCTATCATGTAAAGACAAGCACAAGTGAAAGGAAACTAAACCAAACAGGGTTCATATGACTATTAAACTCTCTTTGAGGGATAAACAGATTTCTTCCTGGATGAAGTTGGAGGAAACTCTGTCTAACTCATCACCAAAAATCTCTCATAGGTGTTTAACCACCTGAAAACTTCTCAAGGCTCAGTAGGAGCCTGAAGTACGACTCAAACCTCCTGAGTGACCAGCAGAACATCCGGGGAGCTCACAAGAAACAATGTGAAGGACCTCTGGGACGTCTTTAAGGACCACTACAACCCCCAAGTCTCCTTAAACCTACTGAAGGACCTGTGGAACCATTCAAATTAAAAAAACTTCATGAGGAACCTTCTCAATGACCATCGGAACCTCCAGAAACATCGCCACCGACCCAGACAATCTCAAACCACTAGAACCTTCTCGATGAAGACTGAACTATATCAGCAGAACCTCGTCAATGTCCATTCAAACCTACTAAAAGATAAACTTTTAGAAACTAAAGAACCTTTCCATCGACACTAAAACACCACAAGAACCTCTGAGAACTTGATAACCGACCTCTTGGGCCATAAGTTAAACAAACTTAATTCATTCGTTTATCAATTTACATAATTTAGTTTGGAGAAGAGTTTTCTTTTAGTGCACAAAACCCATTTTGCTTGAAAAAGATCAACAACATGACATCATCTTTGCAAAGACTTAGTGGAAACAGGGGAAAACACAGAGCAGAGGTTAAAGAGTACGACAGTCATGGTGTTTTTCAAGGGTAAAGAGTGAAATGAGGGGAGATGGATGTTTGAATGCTCCTCTGGCCCAGCGAGCAGCTCGGGACAGGTGCTTTGCAGATGTCAGGATGTGAGGCCCTTCTTTTCCCCCCTTCTTCTTCTTCTGTTTCAAGCCAGTGAGCAACATGATTTAGGCCGGGTAAACACACAGGGCCGGGTTAATTTTGTATGAGGGCTTCCCATCCTTCAAGTAATTCAGGCCTGTCAGTAATAATGATGGAAAACAATGAAGCCATGCATCCCGCTTCCCTGTTTACAAACGCAGCGAGGGCGAGCGAGCAAAGGACAAGAGTGGGTGAGAGAGCGAGCGAGAGGGATGCCACATGTTGAACAATGTGATGTAGTGTTGTTTCCAAGCAACATCCATAAACAGGAAGAGACAAACACTGCAGCATAATCAAACTGTAATTTCTTATTTACGTTGAAACTCGACTTACGAGACAAGTTAGTCTCAATGTCACGATTCAACGGTTAATAATTATTCGGTTGTTTACTTCCACAACACCCCTCGGGGGGGGGGGGGGGTGTCCGGAGCTGCTCTGAAGTACACAAACGAAGTGCGCACACACACGCACACGCACACACACGCACACGCACACAGGCCCCGACATTCATGCTCAGCCGGGTTTATGAGCGGGTCTGTGAAAGCGATCAACAAGCCAGTGTTTCCCGCTGTGTGTTTGCCCGCACCGGCCTCGAAAAAAACATCAAGCCACAAAGGCAAACAGGGCGAGCGAAAGAGCGAGTTTGTTTGTAAACGTGAAGGCATTCCTACAGCCGAGCCAAACGTCCAGCTCCGACCCCCCCCCCCAAAAAAGGCAACCTACACCCCACCCCCCACCTTCAGATGGGCCCCTTGCACTTCTGGGAAGGAAAACGAGGAGGAAGGAGAAAACTGCAAATGTACAGAAATGTGTGTGTGTGTGTGTGTGTGTGTGGGTGGGGGTGGGGGTGGGGGGGTTCAGTGGTAAAGAGTGCTGAATGGCAGCGGGCCAAATAAATTATAGATCTCTGTCCTTCTTTTTAATTTTATTGCCACGCAGACTTTATTTTTCATTCCCTTCATAAATTATGTCAGCAATCACTTAAATATACGCAGAGGGCCGAGCTGATGCATTGCAGCGGCTGCTCTGGAGGATGCAGGCGAGCTCACAGTTCCTGGACGTGGCACAGAGCCAGTCGCAAAAGGCAAAGCAAACAAATTTTTTTTTAAAAAAAAAAGCAGCAATCATCAAGAACCTCTTAGTTTGGAGACGGACTGAAAACCTGCTGACTCAAGACGACCCAGAAGTCCGTCTGGTACCGAGTCAAAGAGAGAGGCTTTGATGACGGAGCACAAAATGTACAGAGAGCTGCTCTATTGAAAATCTTTAATAGTCACAAACAGTCACTGAATCTCGGTCTTTGATCGTTTCAGCAGATATTTACATTCTTAGCTCCTCATGCTGCAAATGTCCCCTGGTTCTTTTGGTTCCTCGTATCTGAGACAAAACCCAGGACCCAGGTCATGAACTCCAGAAAACTGGGTCCAAGCGTTTTCCCAAGTGTCTCTCACATGTGAGGAGCAAAGCAGGAGATCGTCTGGGGTCAAACGTGTTCACAACAGCAAAATGTCTGGACCAGACCAGGGGTGGAGCAGCCGGAGACAAGATACGAGGATGTGACGAATCAACACGCTCACTCGCGGTGACATTTTCCTGCGTTAGTCGCACGTGGGACATTTTGCAATGAGGCTGACAGGAAAATCTGTCTCACACACCTCAGCAGCCAAACAGAGACAAACAAACCCACAGAGACACAGGGAGAACATACAAACTCCACTTAAACAAACTAATGGGTATTTTTTTATTCAATTTATTTATTATAATAAGCCTTGAAGTCTAATAAAACAATCTGGCTAAATAATTAATAATAGGAAACGGCTGTAGCTTTGGTTGATCGTGTATTTGAAGCATTAGTAAAAATGCTCTACACTGAGAGGAGCCCTCAGTTACAGCTCCTAATACAATGTGACAGGAGGAGGCAGAGGATTTCGGTCAATGACGCCACGTTAATGGGGTTACGACATGAGGACGGGCACATGCAGGGCTCGGGGCTGCAGGCCCTCGCTCGCCTCCTGTGCTCCCAGTAATTAGGGTGCCACAACGTGAAACTCTGGATACAACAGTGGCCTTTATGCTCCACTGGTCACTGCATTGCACTTTCCCTCTGCAGCCGCAACTGCACTCCACATCCTGCTGTTCGACTGCACGCAGCTCACCACGCTGGATACACACACTGTGATATAGTGCAGCTACCCCAGGCACTGAATGTGAGGTCCTGTTGTCCTTGTAAGATAAGACAACACCAAACTTTAAATGACTCCAGAGAGGAAATTAGGCGATTGTAGCAGCGAGTGGGAAAAAGACACTGCAAAGAAAAACAGAATATAAATAAGAACATAGCAAAGTGGGGGGGGGGGGGGGGGGGGGGCTGCATAAACACACCTGACACTTTTTAGCACCAGAACATGGCGAGCGAAAAAATTTACGAGTGGAATAAAAAGTCGCGAGTATCAACACTGGGATGGAGATGGATAATTACCACAGTTG